CAAAACCAATATTGAATTTCCCAATGATGATTATGGGACCACATGCCACAGCAGCTCGCAGTGCACACGCAGCAGAGTGTGCAGCTGGATGTCCCAGACTGGATTCCGCAGCAGACAGGAACCGGATTCAGGAATGTACAGATACAGATCAGAGGCAGGAGAGTGAGCAGAGTCCCATAGGGATACTGGCCATCAAAGAAGGGCTGACCCCCGTGATCCTTGAGCTTTATACTGAATATCCACGTGTACGGGATGGAATACCTCATTGGTCAGTTTTTGGTCACCTGTCCTGTCTGCACTTTCCCGCAGGGATGACCCCTTTACGCCTTTTCATTTGTGGACCATAAGAGAGCCAGCAGTGGCCTTGGTTCTCATAGGGACAAGTATAAACATGGGCCTTTCTGGATACCAATCCCCCCGTCACCTTCGTAACAACTATAAACACCAAGTGTTATCAATTCTGAAAGCATATATTGTCTGAAAAATAAGTAGCCAACTTCAGAAAGTGCAGTTACTTAGAAGAAACTTAACTGAAGGAAAAACTCTACTGAAAGGAGAAATAGTCCTGTTTTAGCCAAACCAGGACAGCGTTCCATGAGGGACTTCTCTCTTAGACCACTAAGACCACTATTACTACTGCTTGTTTTCTAGAAGAGCAAACCCAAAGTTTCTCAAGTATGAATTCATTTATTATATGGCTTACCTGCTCTTTGATTGCTTTTTCAACTAAGGATTTTCCTCTGCTCATACGTACCTGTATTAAAACAGAAACACATTTGTAGCAAGTTAGAACTCATCTCAAAAACACAAAAGGTAAGGCAATTTACATTGTTTCTAACAAATACATATTTTAGCTATGATAGTCTCCTTTTGTTCACCATACTGCTGTTTTTCATAAATTCGCATCTTCCCCACAAGGTTACGGTTAATACAGTCTAGAGGGAAAAAAAACTTAAAAACCCCAGCAAGTAACCATTTTCAGCCAAAGCAGGTCACTGCATGGCTTAGGCAATGTTAGTGCTGGAACACCACAGATGGTGGGAATAAGCAGTGGCACATGCCAAAAGATGAGGTTTTATCAGCTGGACTTGTGCCAAATTAAGCTAACAGTCATGAATATAACCATAGTCTCCGTCTTATCCCAATCTTTTCTACCACCACTGCATCTCCTTTTGTACTGTATGCTGTTTATTCATGACAAGCATGCCTTGACCCACTCACATTGTTTGCAAAATGAGGTGATCTCATCTATGCAATGCAAAGACCAGCCCACAGATTGGCTCATAGCCAATTACATATTTACATAATCATGTAAATACCACAGTTAATTGTTTCCAACTGTATTTTGAAAGGATGCAAGACTTGCCCATGTAAGAAACTTCACATAAACCTACACAAACTCAGATACTAATTGTTGCAATCAATGTGATCCTCTAAGAAAAAGCTCAGAAAAACTTCATATTTATCATGTTACTTTTTAATTATTTCCTTGAACTACTATCAAAGACTGCTTCTGTAGGTATCTGCATTAACAACATCACAGCAGTCAGATATTAATAGGCCATGTTGCTAAAGAGACAGGAACCACTGGATGCCATCGCAAGCCTATCCAAACCTACCCAACCAAAACCTTATTCAGCCAAGGAACTGTTGCCATCTTTAGGAAACAAAACGGGAGAAAAGTTGTAAGAGCATATCCCATGGGTCATACCTGATTTGCAGTATTACTAAGAAACTTACTGTATCTGCCATCTTAAATGAACTTCCGTCATGTCGATCTTTTTGGTTGCTAGGATGAGGCGAACTATTTCCCCCATTACGTGCAGATTCTGGGCTAGGAACAGGAGAAATCTGACCAAGAGTTGGTGCAAATTTTGCCTCCTTCTTATTAGACACTAGATAGCTGATATCTTTACTAAGAAAACTCTCCACTCTCTAAATATAAAGATATAAAGGAAATAATTATTTCAGGACAATAGATCAGTAAGTTAATTTTACATTGCATACTTCAAAGAAAAGTGACGCAACTTCTAGAATAATTAAGTTCTAAAACATTGAATTAACGAGAATTTATTTTCTAAAGATCTGAATGACAATTACAACTGAGCTGTAGTAGCATCTTACCAGTCATGAATTCTAATTTCAATTTCTTAATTTTGTAATCTCTATCAAAAAAGCTTTGCTTTGTTTCATTATCATTCTTCGAACTATCTAGCTGTAACACTTTCCAAATAGAAGAATTCAAACACCGCATTGAGAAATAACAGAACAATTAAAGGAAAATCACGGTTTATATAAATTTTGTGTAACAGAAATTACATAGAAGTGTTCAGCTAAACTTAAAGGCATATGTACACAAATGTAATTTACAGTTTGCGAGAAGCTATAAATTCATTGAGTTTAGAACCAGCAGAAAAATTAAAATTTCAGGATAGTTACCATGTTTCATATCTACAGTATTTATAACATTTCTCAAAAATGTACAAGACTTAAGTAGGTTCATAATATTTTCATAGTCAGCAAGACAAAATATGTGGTTATCCTATGCTTATTCACTTCCATTTTGCTCCTTCAGTCTTTTGTTACTGACTGTTGTGCGATTATCAGCTTTATTTGCCTCGTTGTTTCTTGCCAGTTTATGTAGCTTAAAATATTTTCCTTTTCTCCACTAATCAGTATGGAAAGCATAAATCACATAGGCAGCAAGCTTGAAACTGCCTTCCAATTCTGCTCTAGGTACCTTTTCCAGAAACGTGACAGACAGAAAGAGGTACTTTTGAGTGCACTCTGCACAAGTAACAACAAAACACATGTGGCAGTTGGACCTGAGGGTGCCGGGCACCTCAGATTTAGGCATATACTCCTCAGAATAAGAGAAAAACTTCCTTTTCAGTCTCTGATTTGCAACCTTACCTTTCACATATGAGTTCCCAAAATTCTGTTTTAGAGACAGACAAAAGATAGCATGCACTTATTTAATGCTAAATGTAAAGAGATTAATTCAGCTCGAAACCATGTTATTGCTATTCCTTGCCTCTCCTATAAGTTCAGACAGCATCTTGATTTAAAAGTGTCAGTTTCATAAAACTGCTCAGCACTCCTGAGGTCAAAGAAGTATTGCCAAAGCAATGCTCAGAACAGCTAGCAATTTAAACAGATCACTTTTGCTTTTGTGGTTAAAGCGTGTTTAATATTTCAACAGCCAAGATTCCTCTACACTAATTCAAAATACTCAACTTTAAAGTGGACTAAGCAATTGCATTGCTTGTGTGTTACTGTGATACTCTGCATTTGCTTGTATCAAAGGGTTTCTTCCATACAGAAGAGAGAATTAGGAAAAAAAAAAGTGTTAAGATGCTTATAAAATTTATGATTTAAATAAGAGTATTTAAAAATGCTCATTAACATACTCTGTGCAGAAAGTACTTACTGAAGTTACTGACTTTTAGTAAGCATATGCAAAACACTTCCTCTAAACTGTTTCAGGTTCAGCTGAACAACTTTAGTTCCAATATGTAAAGGTGTCTATATTGTCAGAAGTAGCAAAAGAAAAAGTAACCTCAAACAATGAAACTTACTAAATTTGGATACATTTTAAACCAATGAATAATCAACTGGAAACAAACCTTTATAATAAACACTTTTGTTACAATTAGCAAAGCAGCTTCTAGCAAAAAAAAAAAAACAAACAAAATAATTTGTTGATAAGCCAATTATTCATATTAAACATTAAGATAAACATAGAAAAATAAAATCCCATTACATAGAAGATACAAATAACATTAAAACAGTCACAAAGAACATGGAAAAGGCATTCCACAAGCACAGATTTTCTTCTAGTTTCATGAAGATCGCTGCTCATTAACTTACCCCTCCTAGCTCTTTGAGGTCCTTTCCTATTTTTTCAGAGATCACATTTGATGGAATATCGAGGTAAAACACCTTCCCAGTGAGTGGCTTATATTTAAGTTTCTCTGGTTTTCCTGTATCTTTTTTCACACTCTTCAGAGAAGATCTTATCTTGTCTGTTTTTGCTTGCATTCCATCTGCTGCAAAAAGAAAAGGGAATTTAAACAGGACTGTGTTTTACAAACTATGTTTATTTTTACTTTTCAAACAGGAAAATTCTTAAATTATGGAAATGAACAAGGCAAGCTTCCATGCAATACAGGACTTTTAAAAAATAGCTATACGTTAAACATGTCAAAACTGAGATAATAATACTACTACATATAGCCCTTAAAAGTTTCTTCTTAAAATCATATCCTACAATGGACTTTTTATTTCAGTTGCTATACAATGCCATCAATTTTCTCATCCATTTGGTAAGCATTTGCTATCTCTGTACCACAGTACATACACTACTTGCACGGTCACCGAGAATCACAAGAACATAATTTTAGAACAGAATCTCTCTCTCTCTCTTATTAATTTGAAACAAAAAGTATTCATATAGATTCATTAGAACAAAAAAAAGGGTCAAAAGTAACTGAAATGGCAAAAAAAACAAGACCTAGATTCTACTATTTATCTGAACTTTGAGCACCCACAAGAGATGCAGGAAAACTAAGCTTAAAGTTCAGAACTATTCTACTTAGGACCACTCATTCTGTCCCACTGAATTTTACTCTAAAACTAAGAAACCACATACAGCAATTAAACTGTACTGATGAACTTTCCTAACGCTCAACAGGGAGCTATCCATGCAGGCCTAACTGTTAGATTAGACATTTAAATAAGCAAATAAAAAAAATTCAGTCTAGGTGAGAAATAAGCCTCATTTCTCAAGGGAAATCTTGGAGTTTGGTAGAGTTTTGCTCAACACTGAGTAGCAATCAAAAAAGAAAAAAATCAGAAATTGCTAAGAAACAGAAAATAAAATGGGTAATTTTATTATGCCACCTTATAAACGCAGGGCTCAGTCACATCTTAAATACAGCCTGCAAGAGTAACAAGGATGATCAAATGCATAAAGAATGACCTTGTAGATTAAGATTTTGTAAAGTAAATGACTTAAGGGAAAAAGAATACAGATATACAATACCAAGAAGAACACAGAGGAAATGGGTAAACAGCCTATTCCAGTAGAAGAGCTATGAGGCACCAAACAAAATGAGTCAGGTACAAAATGAAAAACAGGAATTGATACTCTGTGCAACAGGGCAACCCCGTGTAGCTTGCTGCCAAAGAATGTTGTTGATACTAAGATGCAATTTCTAGGGGAGATCGCACAAGTACATGGAAGAGGAATACTTTGAGGGGTCCTAAATGCACAGAAGTGACTGTAGCTAAGCATAGCTAGAAACCAGAATAATGTTAGGTGAAAGTAATTATACCTTCTCAGTTCTCACATACTTCCACAGGAATTCCTTCACAATGACAGAGACAGAATCATCCAAGACTTGCACATCGTTAGTTTTACAATACCTTTTCTTCCTCACTAACTGACACCCTACTCCTAGTTGCTTCTCTTCTGGAGAAGCTCAAAAGAGACAATGAGGGCTGCTACAGGAAGTGAGCAGGCCTCTTCTGGAGACAAAAAGCCAACATGCAAAGCAGTCCCTCTGTTACAGAGTCTCTCCCTCCCTGAAATGGTCTTAGATGGGAGAGGGAGCAGAAGTGCCACTCATGTTGCAAGATTCTGTGAGTAATGGTTATGAACACACATAAGTGAAGCAGGAACAGCAGTCAGCTTTGTAGAATCTAGGATACCAAAAGAATCAGAGAAAGAGGAAAACAGGGAGGCTTAGGATAATGTAACTGATTCAGAATATAAACAGAAAAGCTGGACGATAAGCAGGTGGGCAAGTGAAATTCCATAGATAACCAGGGATCAAATATGGTGTTATACCCAGCACACCATGTGATGGCCAAGGCAGCTCAAGAATTAACACACTAAATACTGGAATTAATATTGGAAAATACATATTAAACTTCTTAGGGATAAACAAAAAGTTGGAGTGAGTTAGTACTGCTGCAACAACAGTAAAGAGTCTCTCTCATAAAGCGACTGCACTTTAATACCATGGGCCTAACGTGCCTTCCATGCATGCTCCTGACACCAGCAAAGACCTGTCTGGGTGGAGCAGTGCGCACGGCAGGGGCCTAGCACATTTCGGCATAGCGACTAGCTTCTTTGCCCTGCAAGCATCTTGTAAAACAGAACAAGCTAGCCAGCTACCTTTTCAGGTACACGCTTTTACGTTTAATTCCCCAAACCACGCAAAGATTATTTCAGCTGTCCAGCACTAACAAAGCCTGACAGAGGCCAGAGGCCCAGACCCAGCACCAGGCTGACTGCGGGGTCTCACAGCGAGAGCCAGGAAGGCGCCACCGGCACCAGGCCGCGGCTGAAAGCGACCCCGCTGACGGCGGGAAAGGCTTGAACGCCCTTACTCCA